AGGCACTGCATAAAAGACCGAGGACTTAGTCTTCGTTCTCTACCATTTTTTTTCTACCATTTTTGGATGCAGACTTAACCAACTTCACCCTGCTGTTTAGGATCCAGGCAGAAGAATCTGGTGAGTGAATGTCAAAAGGCAGGGATTTGTCTCTTCCTCCCTCTGGAAAGGCTTTATCTAACTTTCACTGCAATGGAAACCTAGAGACACTCAGCATTCAAATCAAGTAGGTTACCTGAATTTTCATCATCCCAATCCACATTGGAAATGTGTCTATTTTCTGAGAAACCACTGAGCTCAATCTACATTTCTCATTACCATTTAGCAGAAGAAGGATGGCAGCTGACTGTAACAGATAAAGGGCAATTGCTTATTTTTCAATCAATTCTTATTGATTTGGGAGACAGAGGTCCTTAATTGTAAGTGTGCTTCATCTTCCTGTTGGAAATTTCTACTTCATTTGATACATGGATTCTAGTTTAGATTACAGTGCAACATCCTTGTGTGCATTGCAGGATGAGGCTTTAGGTCTTTCACATACTTGAGAGGAAAATCTACAAAACAAGCACACCTTTTACCTATATTGGCTGCCTTGACTGGTAGTGCAGGCTCTGAAACTGGATTGCCTGGATTTGAATCCTAGCTCCATCACTTACTAGTTTTGTAACGTCAGGCCAGCTGATTCTCCTCTTAATGCCTCAGTTTCTTCATCTGTGAAATGGGTGTAGTTGTAATAGTATTTACCTTATGGTGTTGTGAGAATAAAATGAGGATAATTTTATGTAAATGAAATTCCATGTAAGAAAAAAAGCATTTTACATGAAAGGATTGAGAAAGCTTTTAGTTCTGAGCCTGATCTTTACCCATTTTTTTGTTTCCTTTCTCTTGGGACCTAAGTGCTGGTCAGCATCACTTCATGACTGAGTCTGAGGGTCTCATTTCATTTTCCCTGAATTCTTTGCTGCAAGTTGTTGAAATTTATTTTTATATCTCCATCTTTCAACATTTCTAATTGTACTACCAATAAGATTTTGGACATGTTTTTGTTTTCATACCACTTATTTTTCTTTTAATTTTGACACACTTGCAAGTGATTATAGATTGATTTTATGTTTGTGTTATACACATTTCTTATAAATATATATGTTTACATATGTAATAATAGTTTGCTTATAATGAATGCACAAAAATGAGTACACTGAGATCAAAGACCAATTATTTTTAGGATTATGGTACAGTTTTAAGTAGTTTAATAGACATACTGATAATTTCTTTAAGTCCTCTTTTCAAAATCTGATCTTATTTTGGTATCATGTGATAGCAGCATTTAAACTATATGTTTTTTGCTAAATATATGTTTCTAAAATGATTTATTTCATACGAAATTTCTGTTTATCTCTAAAAGAGTTTTTGTAGCATAACCAAAATAACACAGCTAAAATAATCACATCTAAATTAGAAAAAAATGTTTTATGTTGACAAAATTGTAAATTCAAATGTCTTATAGTTGTAATAAATAATGCAAAGAGATTCTATATACTGTTTCCTCGGTTTTCCCTAGTGTTGGCATCTTGCTTAACTACGGTCCAATATCACAAGGAAATTTACACTGATGCAATCCATAACATACCAAAAATTTTAACCATAATTCTTTCAATATTATTAAAAATGAAGGTACTCTCCAAATTTCTGTATTGTCTTAAAATATTTTCCAGATAATTTGCTATAATTAGGGAGATACTTGTTTTCTTAACAGCAAATCAAACAAATCTCTTTCTTAGTAACATTTGCTGTCTTACACAGCCTAACATGGATATGTACATTGCAAACCCTTTCTACACCAGGTGTGGGAATGGAAAAGAACAGACAGGTAAAGAGAATCGACAATCCCATCTAGTCACAATCACTATGCCCAATTTGCAGGTGACAGAACTGGAGTACATAAAAGATAAGTACTTGCGCAAGGTCCCATGGATGGCTAGTGCCACAGCTGGAATTCTAATCTGATGCTTTTTCATGTTTTCTGTGAAAGCACAAGAGATCCATGGAGGCTCTGGGGAAAAAAATCTTGTAAAAATTCAAGGTATTTTACAGCCTACAGGACTGTTGGGACTCAAATATTGCTGATGCAGTTTAATATATTCTGGTACACTGATTTCTAGAGGTAGTTAGTTGGGCTGCAGATGAAAGGACATAAGACTTGACCTTAAGGACAAGAGATCCACCCTGCTCCTATCATTTACTAGCTGTGAACTTTGGGCAGGTCATTTAATCTTTCTGAAATTCTATATTTTATCTACACAGCAGGAATGTGAGTACCTATTTTATAGTTTTATTTGCTGATGACACAAGATAATATTTGCGAAGCTGCTAGCACGTAACAGTGTTCAATAAATGCCAGTTCAGCCTGAATGCTTGGCAAATAGCAAAAAACAAATGCTACAGAAAATGTTATTCAATGTTTGCAATGAGGCTGAAAATTTGAAGACTAATTTTGAAAGAATTCTTCAGAGCAATTTAATTTTCTCAAGACAACAGCAAAGGTGGATACAGGGGTTCCTCTTTTGTGTAAGGTGTCACAGACAAGAGGCTGCCATTCATCCCTCCTTCATTTTGGCCTCAAGTCCTTTACAGATTGATGCTGACACATGCTCAAGAAACCCAAGCAAATCGTCTGCTTGGCTCCTAACAAGCTTCTTGTGGTTTTAGCCAGGGCCAGTTGACATCAGTGGCCCCTTTGTAAACCGTTTTGTTCTGTTTTTCTTAAGGACAAAATGCCAGCCTGGTCAAGATCTAGAAACTTGCTGTTCCATTGTAATAGGATATGCATTTAAATGAGAGCAATGCAAGTTGAAGGCTACTCATGCTAGCATCAGCTTCAGCAAGTCAGTGGGAAAATCTACGAAGTCCTGTGGGATCACTGATCCTGAAGGCCTCTGGGGCTGGAGGCATGACTGGCTAGACCGGCATGCTTTTAATGTAGATATTTTGTTTCTCCTCCACCACTGGCAGTAAAACACCACAGATAAATTCGACTATTCGTTCTCTTCCTTTATAACATGTTATTTCTCCACTTACGATTTTAGAAAGATGTTATTTCCAAACTTTGGGTATGAGGCTAAAATTTCTTTTATAACACCTGCCACAATGCTGTATTTTTATTTTCCCATAAGAATTCCTTTATTATGAAATTCACAAGTTGAAAACACCAATTGTTTTGTTATGTAATTCAAGTTCTAAATGCATCTTCTTTTCTTTTTAGTCTATAGCATCAGAATTTACAAAACAAGTTACAAAGCACACCATTGGCTTAGGCCTTGGGCACTGCATTAACAGTTTGGTGAGGGTTTTAGGAGGCTTTTATTTCAGATGTTGTTAAAATATTTTGGTGATACTAGGAGGAGTCTCTAAAAGTTTTCAATTTAACCATTTAAATAAGTACTAAAGATTTTCTGTGGAAAGAGCACAAAAACTCGTTAAACAAAGACCCATTTCACATTTTAATGCAAATGAGTATAATTTGGAAAGTCTACCTATATTTCTAAATATAACACTGCATAACATTAGCGGCATATTTTATATTATCCACTCACTTATATTACTCTCACTCTGAAAAGTCTTATAGGGATGAATAGATTGCCTGTACAAAGTAGGTGCACAAACTTTCTAATGTTTACAGAAAAGATGAGACTATAAAGAATATAGAATGCTCATGAAAACATTGCTCAAGCTTGAGACAAGCATCATGTCAATAGTGCTGGAAAAATTGGACCCCTAAGTGCCCTCAGTAATTACTTGTCCCGTGGTTCATCAAGATTATGCAACTGGGAGGCAGTGGCTGCTTCCAGAGTCTTGCCATATAAGCCAAGAACGCTGGGGATCATTTCTGGAGGTGCTAATCATTGCCTCATTCATGATAAAATGTTTTAGAGTACATCATTCCCTTGCTTCATACATATATTTGTACCTAATTTATAAATTACTGCCTTTAAATGAGTGAGTCACAAGCAACAGCTGTTTGATGTTTCTCTGTTGTGCAAATTGGTCAGCCTTAGGAGATCAACATGGCTCCCTCCTTTCCCCTTTCCTCTTTCCCCAGTAGGCGAGGTGGAGACCAAAGGGAGAAGTAAAGACAGACTAGGAGAGCGACTGTGTCGTCCGTGCCTTAGGCCTTGGGCACGGTGAGGGTTTTAGGAGGCTTTTATTTAAGATGTTGTTTATCGGTTTAACATCTCTAGTGCAGGACTTCGGCACAGAAATGACCACGCATGAGGCCTGCTAACTCCAACCACTTCACAGACAGAAAGACCCGTGATGCTAGTCCAGGAGTCTGAAGGCCACTGTCTCCTCAGTCCAGATGGCAAGGGTTCCCAAACCGAACTAGTAAACAAACGCTCCACATTTTAACAAGCTGACAAGCCTTCAACTGTAATATTAAACCTCTGATAGAAACAGACGTGTCTAACCACCTTTGGAATGTAGTGCAGGTTATGAAAATGAAGATTGATTTAGAGGGGGAAAAGCTCTGTTGTTTTTGATGTCAAGAATCTCGGAAGGAGGAGAAATTAGATGGAGTTCTAAGAAGGCTTGCCAGCCACTTTAAGGAAACCAGTGCAAAAGAGTGACCAGAATAGAAAGCCAAATGTCCAGGTGGAGGTCTCCAGGCTGCTGTGACTTAACCTTCCTTCTCTCAAGTGCTTGAGGCCAGCAAACCAGCAGAATAAAAGCAGTGACAAAACTAAGCCCAGGTCAGGGAGGCTGCAAAGCTTACCAATAAATCCCACATAAAATGCATTTCTGGGTTCCAGGATGTTCTGAATGGGAGCAAGTAATGTACTTAGTGCTTTACTTACTGTGGAGGCCCTGGAATATGAGGGATTGTTCAAAATCCTAGACTGCACTAAATGGTCCATTTACAAACCACACATTCAGCTCCTTTGTGTGCTTTTAGACAATAGAAAGTTTCAATATATTTAGGAGAATTTGGTGATTGTAGTCTCCAAAGCTTAATGATAGAATGAGGGCACAGTCTTTCTGAATCCTGGGCCCTCTGTTTAAAGGGTGGGAGTTTCCTCAGAACTTCCTGTAAAAACTGTAGCCTTCTCAGGATTTTTCAAAATACAGGAGATAGGTTATTTGCTGTTCCCTGGAGTCTGGCTTTTTTTCAGGAAACTGGGGCAGTTAGTTCAAACACCACTTGGTGCTCAGCTATATATGTCGAAAAAGTGTGGCTTCCTAGCTCTGGTTGCGCTGCTCCGCTGGAACCTGGAAAGAGTGGTGAGATTTAGAAAGCCAGACAAAATAGGGAATTGGCATAGAGAGAAGCCACATGATTCCAAAAGGGCAGAGGATTTGGAGCATGGAGCCACCCAATGGAAGCTCAGGACTAGAGATGAATTCCTCCTTGAGTGGTTCTGCTGATGCTGATGATAATGGAATATACTAGATTCTGAGTTCAGATTATAAACGACATTGTACCATTGTGTCCCTATGTACAGACTGCACCTGTAGCTTGAGAGAGAAGGTAACAGGAGAGTAGTTCTGGAACTCTACAGCAATCACAATGCTCTTGTCAAGTTCTTTTGAAGAGTCCAGAGTACAGCCTGTTATGTATCTCAGGTGATTTCAAAAAAGAGTTCAAGATGACTCAGAAGATCAGAGCAAGGCTGAATAGATGAATTAAGAGATAATGTTCTTAGGAGTAGTCAGAGGGCAAGCAAAAGATTCAAAAGAGTTTTCAATAAGACATCGGCAAGTCTGAGTGAGTGAATGAATGGGGAGCAATCCTTAGAAATAGCACTAGTGGAGAGGATGAACATAGAGAGGATCTTTCATAAAATGTCTTCAGTCAGGGCCATTTTTGTCTTCACAAACCACTAGAAAAGGTATTTTGGAGTTTCTATGCCACACAACATCAAATATTAATATATACTCACATTCAAAATGAAATATAAATTTTCTTGCAAAGTGACAAGGTTTTTATAACTGACTTTCAAAATTATTTGACATCAAATAACTTACTTATTTTACGATTTGCTGTGACTTATCTGAAATCACTGTGCATTCAAAATTCTCCCTATGTGAGAAAATGTATGCTGATTATTTTCAAGCTGTAGCGAAATTTTATCAGTATCAAATTTAATCGTTGGTAAATTTGAAGAGTGTAATATATTATAGACATTTAATTAAACATTTATTAATTTTGAATTTCAGTCTTTCTTTTCTATTTTAGAAGCAGTAACTTTTTCCAGGTGTCTAGCATTTTTATAGGTTCCTGAAGAGCTCCCAGGCTCTTGTCATTGTGCTTAGCATGCCAGTTGGATAAGGCAGCTGTTCCCAGCTGAGCCCACCACAAGGAAGACAGTTGCTAAGCCCGCGTAGACAGCTGGGTACAATTTGGAAGAAAGGTTTTTGAAAGATATGAACAAATGACCTATTATCTTAACTTCAGTTTTAGAATGGTGTATTGTTTCTAAAGTTTGCTTAATTGCATTCCCAACTGAAGAGAAAGGAAAGGGTTAAATATTTTCTGATCACTGGGCAAGTGATTTTTTTTTTTTTTTGAGACGGAGTTTCGCTCTTGTTACCCAGGCTGGAGTGCAATGGCGCGATCTCGGCTCACCGCAACCTCCGCCTCCTGGGTTCAGGCAATTCTCCTGCCTCAACCTCCCGAGTAGCTGGGATTATAGGCACGCGCCACCATGCCCAGCTAATTTTTTGTATCTTTAGTAGAGACGGGGGTTCACCATTTCAACCAGGATAGTCTCGATATCTTGACCTCGTGATCCACCGGCCTCGGCCTCCCAAAGTGCTGGGATTACAGGCGTGAGCCACCGCGCCCGGCCGGGCAAGTGATTTTTACTTTAAGAGACACTTGAAAGTTCTGGGCACTGCTTGTTAAGGCAGAATAGTGTTTGTTTACTTGCATGTTACCTTGTTCCACAAGAATTTGAAGTCATGTATTACAAATACATGTGTAACACTATGACATAACACTAATGAAGGAAACATAATTTTCCTTTTTTTTTCGAGATGTAGTCTCACTCTATCACCAGGCTGGGAGGGCAGTGGGCTGATCTCGGGTCACTTTAACCTCTGCCTCCTGGGTTCACACGATTCTCCTGCCTCAGTCTCCCGAGTAGCTGGGACTACAGGTGCACACCACTATGCCCGGTTAGTTTTTTTTCTATTTTTAGTAGAGACGGGGTCATCTTGTTGGCCAGGATGGTCTCCCTCTCTTGACCTTGTGATCCACCCAACTTGGGCTCCCAAAGTGCTGGGATTACAGGCCACTGCACCTGGGCAAACATTATTTTCTTATACTTCATTAGAGGAAGAGAAGGTCTTTGTTTGGAAAGTTTTTGGAAAAGCTATTGGAAATGAAGCAGAGATTCCGCAGTCTTGAGTGTCAACCGATGCCCAGGTCTCAGAGTTGGGATGCTGCTGTACCTAATGAAAGGGAGATACTGACATTTCCTATGGGAACATCCAAATAAGAAGGAACAGGTGCCAGGAGAGCTGGACCTGGCATAGTGGAGAGTTTGGAGAGAGGATGGATTTAGACAGAACTACCAAGTGGTTGTTGTGGGCTTTCTGGTAAGCTTGAAGAGCTCATAATCACGGGAAATTAAAATCTAAGTAATACACATAACAGGGTTAATATAAATTAGAACAGGTCTTCTAGCAAAGGGACACGTAGAATGCAGAGAAATCTACCTAAAATCAAGCTGTGAATGGTCCTGGCATAAGTTTTATAAGATCCAGAGTGATTAATTATAAGCTCTTTAATAAAATGAATAATGTGCATTGCCTAGTATAGTAAAGCATAGAGTGTCATCCAGGACATTATAATGTTCCCTCACCTCCCCTCCTTGGAGACCTCTGTCAACCTCATTCTAAGGGACTGGTGTCCCATTCTCAAAGGTCCTATTCTATGCTCCCTTCTTTTCCTCTATCTTCTTTCCCTTTGAATTTCATCCTCTTTCACCATGCTCTCTTCTGCTCACGTTTCTGTTAATGGTGAATTAATTCATCGATGATTTCACTAAGCCACTTGCAATTGTTTATTTTTCTTATTCTCCCAATTTAATCAGTGGATGTGTAGTAATATCAATACCTCCTGAGAAATGTGTGTCACTTTGTTTTAGTTTCCTATGGCTGCTATAGCTAATTACTACAAAGTTAGCAGCTTAACAATACCCCAATTGGTATTTTTGAAGGTCACAAGTTTAAAATAGGTACTGGGCTCAAATCAAGGTATCAGCAGGGCTGAGTTCCTTCTGGAGCCTCTAGGAGAGAATCCATTTCATCACCTTTCAGCTTCCAGAGGCCACTTGCCTCCTTGTTTCATGGCCCCTTCCTCCATCTTCAAAGCTATCAGGGTAATTTCTTCTCTCCTCTCTGACCTCTGCTTCCTTCTTTTCATTCTTTCTTTCTCACTCCGATCCTTCAGGCTCCCTCCGATAAGGACTCTCGTGATTAGCTTATGACCACCCCAATAGTCCAGAGTAAGCCTTGCTTCTCAAGGTCCTTAATTTAATCACACCTGGAAAGTCCCATTTGACATGAAAAGTAACAGGTTCTGGAGAATAGAATGCGAACATCTCTAGAGGGCCATCGCTTAACCTACTACACATACCACCATTCCCTTCTCTCATTACCATTGGATTTGCCTTACCTCATGCTTGGAATATTACAGTAGTCTCATAACCAGATCCCCTGTCTCTAATACCTCACTCCTCCAGTTCAGCATGCACACTGCTTCCCATTATTATCCTACAGCTAGGATCTGGCCACACATCTCCCTTCATCCAAGTCATTCAATGGCCTTTCACTGAACAGAGGAGAAAACCCTCAAACCTCAGACTTTAATGCTGACCTTTCCTATTTTCCATTTTCACCCCTCCACGGGGTTCAACCATACATCATATATTCCATATATCAACTCTACTTGCTATTCCTTCAATGTACCCTCAACTTTTACAAATTTCTTCTTGTGCTTTTACTGTTATTTCAGTAAAGAAGGGACAATGTCCTTCTATTTCTCTACCTTGTTAATTGAAGTTCAAATTGTTACTCAGAGCTCAAGTCAAATCTCTCCTCTTCCATAACACCTAGATCCCTGCTGTCTTCACACATTTTTACCTTCCAAAGACCTCTGCATGCGTCCATGGAGTGACTATCTGTCTCTACAGACTGTGAAGCTCTGATGGGCAGAGACCATAATTTGTTAACTTTCAAGACTTCATAGTGCTTAACACCATGTGCTGCTCATTAGAAAATGTGAGCAGATATTTGTTTTATTGTATATTTGAGGTTTTTCTTTAAGGACTAGCCAAAGAAGTTACAGAGATGCTCTTCAAAATCATTCTTTAAAGGGAAGGTTATGACTCAAACACAGATCTGAGTATGTTGATTTTGCTAGTTTTCTGGCTGGAGGATGTTTTCTCCATTCTCTGAATTATACCATCTCTCAGGGAGGGTTAGCATTATGGGAAAGTTCTCCCAGGTCTTTCCCAATCCATTTGCTCCCAATAGTGTTTCACATCTGCTTTGTCATTTGTGAACCTCAGATATGGTGCCAAGAGGCCGTTGTCCTCCAACAGATACTTCTGTTCAGTTCTGTCTGCAGTGAATTATTCCTCTCAGTTTCTTATCCAGTATTTAATTCCCCATTACTGAGCTGTATTGAAGGTGAGGGAGGCCTATCTGATCTCCCAAGGGGCTCAGTGCCAGCAGAGTAATTAGCTAGGCTTCGTGCCAATTCAGAGCTTTGATCTGGAAACCTGTAACCTTCACTTTCAATATGGTGGTAGAAGAAGGTGTTGGGCTAAAGAAGAATGCTCTAGGCTCCAATTTTAAAACTGCACAAACATTACCCCAGAGAGGCTGAGAACTGGACTGCACAAAATGTTGCTGAAAAAAAAAAAAGAAATTTATTGGTTCATTTAACTAATCAAACCCTGACAATGTGTCAGTGGTTTCACAGAAAATTTAAACCAAGGAAGCCTGTATTCAAAGGCGATGAGGCTGATACATTTATTGAATTGTGAATGGCATTTCTCTGGGCACAAGGAGGCTCCATGTGAACAGATATGCTTCTGTGAGGAAGTTTGTGGCCATAATGAAAGTAGAATTAGAAAGAGCACACTGCGATTTTTTCCATCTTAAAAAAAAAAAATCAGGGAGGAGAAGAAAGGTGGCACAACATATAAAAGGCACATTTGACCAGAAGACACATTCTGGTTTTGTGGCCACTAGCTTAAATACAAAAGATTTCTGTTGGCATGAGGTTTGAAAAGCTGACAAGAAAGAAAGCAGCCTCAGAAAGCTGTCTTGTCTATGTGAAGTACTTTGCTGGCACCAACGCGGAGTGTGGCAGCTGCATTTGGTATCCAACAGGGAGCTATAGATATTTACTAATACTCTTGGAAAAAGAGATAGGCAAATCCCCTCTAAGAGTTCTATATGCTCAGAAGGTTGGGTTGGCTGCCTGGGAAGGTTGTGGAACCCCAAAGGATGGCACAGCCCTGCCACAGTGCATTTCCTCCATCGTGGTTTGGCTATAGCTTTTAAACTTGAGAGCAAATCGTAATGGAATTGCAAAGTGGTCTCATTATGTTAGATGGATTGAAATAACTTATAATGTATGACAATGGGGTTGTAGAGGGGTGTTAGTGGTGGCTGGCAGCAGCCATGGCCCATGTTCCATTAATGAAGGCAGTGGTCTTTGTGGGTGACCAGAGAGAGGACTCTGGGACAGACACTCTTCTTAAAAACACCTCTCCTGCTGGCCTGTCACAATGCTTTTATCTCAGCCTTTAAATTCCCAGTGGCTAAGCCTTAGCCGTCTTTAACAACCAATAAAACGCCAGGGCTGCTGGAGTGAGTTGCGCATTAAACCGTGTGAAGATTTGAGAGACTTCCCTTCAAACCTGTCTCTCTCCTGTGTTCCTGCTGCTTCTGCCATGCACTGTAACAACTTTCTCATTCGTCAATGGTTTCTCTCACTTTCTCACCACACACATCCAATTAGTGAGTCTTGTTGCTCCTGCCTCTGGCTTAATTTTTTTCACCTCAGTGCACTGCCTTGATGAGCTCTTGCCTGTGTTCATGCAGTAGCCTTATGGTCTTTTGCTGTGGCTGCTGGGCATGCATTCTTCACACCACTGCCTTTATCCTTAAGCCTCTCCCTAACTCCTTAGTGGCCTCAGGATGGATTCAATTGTGTAGTTTGATAGCGAAAGCCCTTCAGAGGCCCATCTCCCTCTACCTGTCTCTCTGACTTCCTGGCTTCCCACGATAGGGGCACCACCTTTCCCCTGATTGTAAAGAACATTTTACAGCTTCAACTTACTGCATATGCTGCTGCCCCTCTACCTACCCTGAACTTTCCCTTTCTTTCTGCTTGTAAAGTTTTCTCTCATCCTCCAAAACCCAGATCGTATGTGAATGCTGTTTCTGTAACTCCTTTAGATGAGACTTAGTTGGTCTCTCCTGCTCAGAATAATTTGTACACACCTCCATCAAAGCACTTTCCATCCTGCAAGTAACCCTCTCCCCAACTTTCTCAAAGATATCAATAATGCAGCATTCATCTCTAGGTCTTCAGTGCTTACACAATGTCCAGAATAATAAATCTAAATGCGAAAGCTGACTGGCTGAATACATAAACCATTCTTAGGAATTAGTGGATATAATCAGTTGCCCATTTCAGTGGCTATGTTGATATAGCGCTATGACAAGTACGAAGAGAGACCACTCTCATTTGTACAACCTTTTCTCCTCTTTTTGTTTTTTTGAAATGGAGTTCCAATCTTGTTGCCCAGTCTGGAGTACAGTAGCACAATCTCTGCTCGCTGAAACCTCTGCCTCTTGGGTTCAAGCAATTCTCCTTCCTCAGCCTCCCCAGTAGCTGGGATTATAGGCACCTACCACCACACCGAGCTAATTTTTGTATTTTTAGTAAAGATGGGGTTTCACCACATTGGCCAGGCTGGTTTTGAATTCCTGATCTTAGGTGATCCACCCACATTGACCTCCCAAAGTGCTGAGATTACAGGCATGAGCCACTGCTCCCTGTCTTTCTCCTCTTTTTAAAACACCGCTCCCATCACGTTCTTTCAGAAAAGGCTTATGCAAGGTGTTATTTCAATCTTCAATTACAAAACAAGCATTAATGGCATGTCTACTATATCCCTGACACCATTGAGAATTGATGCATCAGGAAATAAGACAGGCAAGATCTCGCTTTCAGGAGACTTGTGATCCATGCTGGGCAAGACAGACATTAAGCATACAAATACACAAATAAGATCATTTTAGATACAGAGAATAGAAAAAGGGGGAGAGGGTGGAGTGTGTGAGAATTGAGGGCAAGGGCAGCAGCTAGTGCAAAACCCTAAAGAAGGAACCAAATGATTGTACCTAGGAAGGAAAAAAAAAAAGTATTGGGTGAGCTTTGAGAGCTGGGCAAGGACAGATAGTGCAGGGTGGGGGTTGGGTAGAGGGGCGTTCCTGATTGCCAGGGGAAGGCTTTGCAGGATTTTCAGCAGGAGAGCCGCTGGAGACGCGCGCCCTATGGAAGCAGCATCCAGCACCATTCTCAGTGGGTTCCTGACGTCATCCATCTGAATGTTCACCTCCCACTCCTCGGCTCACCTCTGTTTCTGCCTTGTTTTCCCTCTCTCTTCCTGTTTGTCTCTCTCTTACTGTTCTTTAGGACTCTGGGGCATAGTTTAAAAGCAATCAACCACAAGCATGATCGCTCTTTTCCTCTGTTTTATCTAAAACTTTTTTTGTAAATTTTATATTCTATGCGCTGATATATTCCTCTTTATCCTCCAGCAGACTTGATATTCCAGAAAGCTGCATTGGATTTTTCCAGCAATTCTGTAAATTCCTGGTATACGATGCTCATATCCTAATTTGAGAAGCATTAGGATGTTAGATAGATTGACTTCGTTTGAGTAAGATGGTTTAGGTCTAAATACAGAGTGGGTCTACTTTACTGGGGGCCTCCGGTGAGGACCAGGCAGCTGTGGGAAACCCAGCAGAAAAAATTTTTTTCGGTGAGCAGAGTAAAAGGAGCAACATAGGACAAAAGAGTTGTTGAAAAGGGAATGTGAGAAACCTCAGTGTCACATTTTACTTATACCCTTTAATTATTTTATGATATATCCAGGAGACACCTGTGTTCTCCTACCAGAAGCGGAATTCCATGAGCATGGACCTGTCTGACCTGTTCTCAGTGCCCAGAACACTGCTGGGCACATAGCAGATGCTCAGTAGCTATTTATGAATGAATGAACAAATGACTAAATGATCGAATGAGCAGAGAAAGTAACAAGGCCTACAACCATCACTGATCTGAGACTCTCCCACAAGAATATCAGGAAAAATATACCACAAATAAAGAATGAGGCCACCCAGAAATGATTCTGGAATAATACTATTGACGTTTGGGGAGGAGACATGAGAAGGAGGTAGCAAGGAGGCAGAAGGAGAAAATGTATTAAATTAAAAATGCATAGGCAAAAAAAAATTAGAAAAAAAGAAACAATGGTTAAAGTTTAAAAATAAGTATAAAACTGAACGGAGATTGAGCATATATAATCAGACTCTAAAAGTCTTTCATAATTACTAAGATGACAAAGAAACCCCTTGAAAGGAAGTTTATGAAGCACTGCTCCAATCAGATTCAGAGCCTTTTGGGATCATTTGAGTGATAACTGTGTGGGTGTTACTCCTTGTAGATTATCATTTTCTTTCTGAATTCATTTCCTTCAGCAGAAATGAGAGCCTGCGTCACTCATGGGGCATACTTGTGTGATGTGTGGGTTTCCCTACCCGAGAACTCATAGAATCACAGAGCTCAGAGTTAACGCCACAGGTCACAGGAGGCTCACCCTGGCTCCAGTGGGGAAGCCTTGGCCATCATTCAGAGTGAGAGACCTGGAGAAGCCCAGGTAAGAAGATTGTGTCAGCATACTGGGCACACTTTTTAACTGGTTCTAATGATGTGCCATCATTTGTCCAAATGGTAGGACTTTTGGGTCATCCTCATCCTTCAAGTTTCAGCTTTAATGCTCCTTTCCTTTCCTAACTCATCCAAGAGTTCTTTCCCCTTTGTTCCCACTGGGCTTTGTACATATTTACAGGATACTAATTATACTCAATTATAACATGAACAGCTCAATTGCCAAGCATGTATTATGTACAACACAGTTTATTCAAGTATTCATTTATTCCAGCATTCATCATTCATTCATGAGTTATTGAACATCTTTTAAACCTAAGACACTGTGCTAAGTAAATACTTGGGACACCAAGACAGTAAAACCTGGCAGCTGCTGTTAGAAACTTAGTGCCTAGTGAGGAACAAAAGATACAAGGACCATTTGCTTGGTAACTACTGTGCTTTGGCTGCTGTGCTGGGTATTTTACCTTTGTTATCTCTAATTTCGTAACATCATGTGTAAAAGAAGACAAGAACTGGGAAGTGGAGAGTAAACTGATTTGATGCTTCAAAGCTACAAGGTTAGAAAGATTATGTAGTTTGGTTCCCAACTAACCTTTTGCTGTTGCTGTTGTTGTTATTGTTAAATTCATTACTCTTGTTTTCCTTTATCAGTCTCCTCATAAATGGCAGCTGCAGCTCCTTTTCTCACTTCCTTATTGTATTGTGCTATAAGATCTCTGGATTCGGGTACATAGCTCTAACACTAGCTTCTACCAGAAGGTTTGGGACTCTTTAGGTGCCTGTAAAAATCTGTTGAAAGGAGGCTTGCATGCATGAATGAAATGGCAGACTCCTCACACTAAGCTTCAGATCCCATTTTCAAAGTGGTCTGGCTTCAGTCAACTTTGCTGTCTTCCCCAGTTCCAGGCACCTATTACTGGCATCAGTCAGGTTTCAGCCAGGTAGGTGAAGCAGAAAGAATTGTTAACATGGGTAATTAGAGCCTCGCACATCCATGAGGAGGGCTAGGAGCCAGGGTCAGGCGGGAACTCCCTGTTCAAGAAATCTGGAAGTGCAGGAAGCAGAGGGAAGCTTGGGCAGCCTCACAGCAATTTTCAATAGTACACTGGGACCCGTCCCAGCTACTGCTGGAGAAGAGTAGCTTCTCTTTCTCTTCATCTTCCAAAGCCTAGTGAGATCCCTTCCTTGGAAGCATCTGACCTGGAATCCTGGTGGTAGGGAATGCTGGGAAGCATAGTTTCTGGGCAGGGAGAGGAGGGAGGTGGGGAAGACTCTGTGACAACAGACAGTCTAGCAAGTTGATCTCTTGTTCCTCCTGCAGGTATTTATCAGGTAATGTTCTCACCCAGTCCTGCGAGTCCCAGCACTCTTGCCTTACTCAGACAGTACTTTCATAAATCACCTTGTTGCCATGCTAACAATGGCAACCCCAGAACTTTTGCCAGTAGGAAAACACAAAAGATCCATTTCCTACCCAAATAAGAGAATCCTTTTTGTTTGTTTTTTTCATCCAACAGAGACTAAATTATGAAGTCCAACTCTGTGGAGGGCTTTGAAAACAGAGCCCTGACCAGTGCTGAATTGACTTGAAGAATGATGAAGGGTTGGCTTCTCTCTCTCGGCAGCTGTGAGTTTGGTCAGCCCTTTGCAAAGTAAGAGGAAGTTTAATGAACGCAAATAAGACATGATCCTTTGTGGCTATAAAAGTTACACTTTGAAAAAGCTCAGCTGGTCAAGAGCCACTTGAAAATGATGTTCCTGTGGGGGAACTCTGTCAAAAGTCCACTCCTCTTGGTGAGTTTCCTTTTCTTTAAGGGAAAACAAAGAGAGGTTTTACAACTAGAGAAGGGTCATTTTGCTGTTTGAAAGAGTGCATTCAAAAATTGAGGCCCGGTGCGACTGGGAGACACCCACAGTCAGTACTTGTTTATTTGCCCAGCTTTACACCATGTAAGTGATGCGGAATCCTTTCCGCCTCTAATAATAACACCACCGTGGCCCTGAGTTAATGGAAAGCTGGAGTGGCCAAATGAGAGCTGGTGCTCAGATTAACCACTGTGGGTCAGACCAGTCCACAGCTGCGGCGGGGGAGGCAGGAGGGAGGTGAGGGGGTGGCATGGAGGAAGGGCAGAGGGAGCCCGTCTTAAAATATTTTTGCCTAGTCAACGGATTTAATGCATGATGTTTTACCACCAGATTCATCAACTGGAGCATTTTTAAAAGGATCGGGGAAAACAACCACCTAATTCACATTCTATGGCTGCTAATTGTGCAAGCAGTACATTTTAGAAACGCTCTGTGCTGAGGAGTCTTCATTTGTGGAGCATTTCATTTGCTTATACAGTAGGCAACAGTGCTTAAATAGTGTAATTATTATGTGTTTCTAGTTTGCTTCGAATTTTGATTCAATCAGAATTCCTAAACCTGACAGCCTATAATCAAACAAAGGGAGTGCTCTGGAAGCGAGGGATTAACAGAGGGGAATTAAACTGTCGTTTTGAAACAGCTTAGACCAATATGAAAGCCCATTTAGGAGTCTCTCCATAAATATCCCTTTTGTTTTGTCTAATTGCCGGTTTGAATGTATCAGACTCATCAATGGGATTAGGGTTAATAGATGTTTGGTCACGCAGAACATGCAGAGGAGGAATCTGATACACACACACAAAAATTGCACTTAATGAGCTTAGCAAATGTTTGCCATATTTTTAATGAACCCTGGGGCTGTCATTTAGAAATGCTTAGCAACGGCTTTTCCATCCTTGAAAACAGAGCAACTGAAGGACATTAACACTATGTACACCGTAAATAAGAGGAGCTATTTAAAGACACCAGCCAGGAGGAGGGAATGATGATATTTTTCTGTGCGAGCTCCAGTGATACTTAACACTCTGGGTGTGGGTTCAGTATGTGACAACAGAGTTGGGTGGTTTGAGTTTCCCGAAGGGCACTGCGGGGCGTGAGGTTTTTGCACAGGGTCAAGTAAGCTTTTTGTTTTTTTGTCTTAAGTTAAACCTGTTTAGGATCGAATCTTCCACCCTCCTACACCAGCCCCTGCTTCTGTTTTCACACCTTCCTCCTGCCCTTTCCAAGTATCCGTGTAGAGGCTTTTTAAAGAGGAGGTTATGCATTTGCTGCCACGTCCCCAGGCCCGATGCTGCCCTGGCCATGAGGCTGGCTGCTCCTGTAGCTCAGCCATGCAGGCTGGAGCGGCACGCCCTTGGGATTGATTACTCAGAAGATTGAATGATCCATCTTTGGAGCCCTTGGGATTTGGCTCCGAAACCAATGCAGTCGGCAGTAATGGGGACTTATTGAAGGAGGCCATGTGGCTTGTGCTCTCAGAATACAGACTGAGCCTAAAAGAATCAGGTTTTCCTTGGGGAAGGTTTGATTTGATAGACAGAGCACGAAATGCAAGTCCAATGGATTATAGTTAGAGCAAATGAAGGATATCTTAGACCCTTAGTTTTCCACAGAGCCAATTGATTTCAAGGACTTCCTGCTCCCTGCCATCTCTCCTCTGACTCTGCCTCTCAAGGAGCAAACATAGATACCACCTCATTAAAAGAAAATATTATGAACTAAACACAGCCACCTTTCAGCTTTGCTGGAAAATGAACAACCCTCCTGTGATAGCAGCTGTACTATTGTGTTGAATGATGAGGTCATAATTCTTATTAGGAGAAAACTGAAAAAAAAAAAAAAGGCTATTTCTAGTATTGTACAGAAACTTTGTAAAGTATACAAAATTATAAAGTTTTTTTGGAGGAGGCAGGTTGAGGAAAATTTGCATCATGGGGGAATTGTGTGTTTTGTTCTTGTGGTGGTGGTAGTGATGGTGAGGGTGGGGATGTGTGTGTGTTGTATGTTTGTGTATTTTGTTAGTCATTTGTCATCAAGTGCTCCTTGCCCTCAAGCAACTATTAGAATGCCTGGTTTGATGAATGAAGCTAGAGATATTACCAAAGGCTTTATGGCTCTGTAGTTTAAAAACATTGTCAGTAATAAGCTATTTTTCTTTCAGAAGTGTCTAAATTCTTGGCATCCAAAGCAGTGGATCAGATGAGTTCCAAAAACTCATTTATTAAATAAATCCCTTAGGTCATAGGTTCACAGCCCAAATACCTACAGCATCTGGATTGGTAAAACAGAATGAGTCTAGCTAGACAAAGTATTAAGGAATGATGGGGACTGCCACAGACTGGAAACCATACCTGTCCCCTCTGAAGAGGGCAGAATGCTCTGCACTTCAACCCCTCTGCTGCATCTCAACTTTACTCTCTTCTTGGTTTCTGGACTTTAAGCTTGATTTTGACTTTCATACCAGTGGTTCACTGACTTTATCTTATCTTTAGGCTTTAAGACACTAGTTAGCATTTTCTCTCAATTCCTCTGAGCATCATTCTCCAACCAGGTCCCTCGGGTGAATGAAAGAATGAGTGAGTGAACGAATGAGTGTATTACTATATTTTAGTACCAGTGTGTGTGAATCATCATTTTCCTTCTTCCTTCCTTCCTTCTTCCCTCCCTCCCTCTCTTCCTCCCTCCCTCCCACCCTTCCTTCCTTCCTTCCTTTGCAGCTTCTGTCCTCCATTTTTTCCCCTGCATATATAAAGATAAGCCAGAAATAGATACTCTGCATTGTAGACACTATATAATCTAGAGAGAATGATATAAACACTGTAACATGGCAGTTGCTCTGGTTGCAACATGACAAAAGCCAGAGGGAGAAAGCAGGGGTCCTGTGAGTCTCCCCTGGTAGTGCCAGGAGAGCCTTTCCAATGACCTGAGTGTGTTAAGCTGTGTGTAGGTGTTTGCCAGGAGGACAATATTGAGATATTATAACCCTCCTGTGATAGCAGCTGTACTTTTCTGTTGAATGATGAGGTCACAATTCTTATTAGGAGATAACTTAAAAAAAGGCTATTTCTTGTATTGTACAGGAGTTTTGTAAAGTATACAAAATTATAAAGTTTTCTTTGGAGGAGGCAGGTTGAGGAAAATTAGCATCATGTGAGAAAAGGGCCTGTTTGTTCTTGTGGTGGCAGTGGTGGTGATGGTGAGGGTGGGGACGTATGTGTGTGTGTGTGTGTGTGTGTGTTGTATGTTTGTGTATTTTATTAGTCATTTGTCATCAAGTACTCCTTGCCCTCAATATAGACAGGGCATCTTAGGCAAAGGCATAGAGTGTGAGAATATGGCTTCCATGGCAAGCAACAAGCCTGGCTATATATTGAAGGAATTGCAGGTAAAAGGCTAGAGAGATGGACACTAATTAAAGCCTTAATTTTGGACCTTATCTTACAGGTGTTGGGGAACCATTCAAGGGTTTTCAGTTTTCCTATCATATTCGGGAATTATTTAGCTCTTCAGAAGAAAACCAGCTGCTAATGCTGGACTTAGATTTCAAACTCTATGTTAAAGATTCTGCTTTTCTGGAGTATTTGAGTCTTCTTTGTGTACATGTGTGTATCTATCATTGGGTAAAAACCACAAACTGCTGAGAATATTCAGTAAATATCCTAGGATCTACTCTCTAAGGGAACAGTCTGAGGTTCCTTAACTTCATGGTTGTATACCTACAGATGTTCTTTCACTTCACTTGCAGAAAATGTGTTTAAGTTGTTTCTCATACTTCTAAATTCTCTTTACAAGGAGATGCTCAAGTGTGGCTTGACACTAAAGCCAAAAATGTTCTACTGCTGGCTAAGCAGCTGAGCCTAGAACAGACAAAGCTCTCTGCCTATTTTTCTGCATGTTTCCCTTTCCAAAAATGGTGTTTGGCTATTTAATGGATACCACCAATTCATTGAAGACAATGTTTCTACTTTGGTCATTTCTGAAATATATTTTTCAGGAGTGTTCTATTGTCCTGCCAGTCCAAATCAATGTAATTTGAATGCTTAGTGAAGACATGGAAGTCTGCTATGTAAGGTGGACTTACAGAGGCTACGCCATCAAGTTATTTTCTTAAAAAGTTTGTAATCTCCTAGGAAAAATGATGGGGCTACTTAAAACGGGGTAGGGAGAACTTCTGGGGAAAAAGCCATATTTTTACACAAAATAAAGCAAAACAAGTGGCTTAGTTGTTTGAGACGTCTCAGTTTTAAAAATTTCTCAGCTAAGATATTAGAGGTCCAATTAGTACTTTTTTTTTTTTTTGACAGAGTTTTGCTCTTGTTGCCCATGCTGGAGTGCAACGGCACAATCTCAGCTCACTGCAACCTCCACCTCCTGGTCCTAGAGATTCTCTTCCCTCAGCCTCCTAAGTAGCTGGGATTACAGGCATGTGCTGCCACGCCGGCTGGTTTTGTATTTTTAGTAGAGACGGGGTTTCTCCATGTTGGTCAGGCTGATCTTGAACTCCCAACCTCAGGTGATCCTCCTGCCTTGGCCTCCCAAAGTGCTGGGATTACAGGCGTAAGCCTCTGTGCTGGCCATTTTAACTTTTTTATGAAAGTTAAAAAGTACAACATTTAAATCAGAAATTCTCTTTGTATGTGTAGTGAAGAAAAACCAGATAGAATTCTTAGGCTAGTCTGGTTAGGCTGAAGTTAGCCTCTTCAGGGTATAGAGTTGGCCCTGCTCATAAACTTTGCCAATGAAAGCATCACCATGAAGCTTTGAGTGCCTCAGAAATTTAATAAACAGTTTTAATATAAGGCCAGCATTACAGGGGAAAAAACTATTTTACATTCTGGTTGTCTTCCAGAAGACTTAAATGTATTATAAGTATGATAAGATTAAGAAAGATGAGTCTTTTAAAACTGTATTAATTTTATCTATTCTTG